GGTATTATGAAAGTAATGATCATTGAAGCTCGAATAAAACCATAGAAGAGGGCCGAACAATATCAATCTAGATTGGGCAAAAGTGTGTTACAAATATATAAAATATTTAAAACATGCAACACAGGATAACTTGATGAATCTATTTAGATTTTGCCGTAATCTAATAGAGCCGATAACCTGTCTTGCTTCCACTAAACATATTGAGCAAACGCTTTTTGCGCACGGTATCTACTCATAAACAAAGTATAAGCAAAGACTTCTTGATTGTCAAGCAAAGATCCGCCGCATACGATCATTGAAAACAAACAAGACTACTTGCATCACGTCTAAATCCACCGCATGATATACTAAACATGATAACAAGGTTGTCGGAACTTACGGAGGTCGACGGATCGATGACTCCTCTCGAAGAACTCGACGACACGACAAAAGGACTCGAAAGTTGGCACGGGGCCGGTTGTATTGATTTGGTTGTGAACGCCTATTACAATGGTCGAGGGTCAATATTTATACCCTAGACGAAACACGAGTCCTAAAAGACTACGATTTACAAAGGAACTCTTAAACAAACTTGGAAACTACGATTCCTTGCCCCAAACTCTCAGAGTCCTTTATTATTACAACTTTCATCTTTTCGATCGGCTTTGCTTGCCATCTTCTCGCTTTCCCGAATAGAGTCACCACCTTAAAATGTAACCGTAACCGACCGCACAAGCATTTAGCCGACCGCTCATTTTGTTTGTCAATGTCCTTCTTCCCACATGCGGACCCACCCGCCATCTTCCAAAGTCGACCAAAATCCAAAGGTTAACACCATGCAAGCAATGTATTCTCGAGAGTCCCGTGCAAACACAACTTCCCTTTCCTTGACCAAATAGATCTTGGAAATCTTCTCCACAAAGGGCTCAGGTAACATGTAATGTATATATTTGCTTGGGCGCATCTTTATTGGCTTGCATCTTCACTAATCACTACGCCGGCAACTGTGGATCGTATTATTTCCTTCATGCATGGACTCTTTCTTTAATCAAGAAGCCTCACGTCTCCATCCAAAGATATATTTGATTTATTTCCTTATGCAGCCCGCCAAACAACTATTAAAATATCCCTTCCTCGTTAATCGATCTTAATCTTGCTGGCATCCATGTCAAGCATAGCTCAGATAGCACTTGGCCTCTCATCCTTTTCCATTTGCCTTGCCGGTTGCCCAATAATGCATCACGATATGTAACAAACAAGATGGTAGGCACATCGGAACGCCAAATTGCTTGACCTTTTGTCGCTCCCCATTAATTTCGAGCATGAATGACTCCATCGTATATATCTCATCGGCTTTCGAGTCATGGTCATTATCGGAGATTTTCTTCTTTTTACGTTACCAGCCGCTTTCTTCCCAATTACCAAATTTTGATGTCAACAGACTCAAACTTGAAAACCTACTTGGATTCGGCCAACAGAGAGGAACAGCCAATTCCTTGTCCGATTCAAACTTCAAACCCTACTTGGATTCGGCCAACAAAGAGACTATATGATAGCGCGTGTTGTGATAGAACGTGACAAGAACTCGAAACTCTAAAGGACTAAAACTAAGACCAAAGCAACTTGACACAACCGATGCAACCGACGACTCAACAAGCCCTAACTAGGTAGCACTAGCCACGCCCCAAAGGTCTATAGGATTGTAGGAAACTAATCTACTATTTTTTTGGCTTTTTTGGACTATAGGAAAAAATAAAAACAAATAAGAATTACAAGTCTCTCACCGATAAACCTTGCTCGATTACTAATTGATATGAACCCGCTTAGGGTTTATGGACGATCTTCGATGAGGCGTGAGATCACTCGATTTGGTGGATGGAGATGACGCGTTCACGGCCCGACTACAGCCTTTCAAGACCGCGCCTTAGCAACCAATACACCACCTCCAAAGGCCGTCCACGATCTTGTGGAGCGCGACAACCCAGCCACTAGGGCTCCCGTCCCCGCAAGCAATCGAAGAACTAGCAAGAACAAGGAAACAAGCACTGAATTTGCAAGATGAAATTGAAAGCCTCAAACTGAATCTTATGATGAGTGGGGTTTCAAGACAAGGAGACGGGCGGCTTTGGATCAAGACGCTACTACCTAAAGAAAAGTAGCAAAGGCTAAACTTGATCTAAACAAAACCCAAGTGTTCCTGGTGGTGGCTAAGGGGTATATGACATGTGGAGGACGACCACAAGAGAGTTTGGGTCGTGCTCCAACCCTAGGACGCGTCCCTACTGGACTCTAAACGATACAAGCCCATTGGGCTAACTTAAGGTGGCGCAGCACCCTGGACAGAATAGACCTCTCAGTGATTTTTGGACTGTTGACGCCGTTTCTGAGTAGGTATGAGTATGAGGTCAGATCCGTATGAAAGTAGACTTTATTAGCTTTCCAACAAGTCCAGAATCACCCCAATCTGACTCCGTATGTAACCGTGGCGACCGTCGCAAGTTGGAGGTGTGCTGCAGTCCGAATCCAGCCTACGCGAGTCCTTTTCCCTTTCGGTCTTCTCCTTGATTCCTAATCAAAACAAGAGTGCACGTGTCTCCAAGATCTAAACAGGATGGACAAGAGCTCAAGAAGGAACTCACTTGATGATTAAGTGTTCGAGCACGAGCACGGGTAATAGGACCAGCAGGTGTCGGCGTGGACGGCGTGGATGTATGATCGGTGTTGATGTCCTCATCAGCTGTATCCACTGGTGGCTGTTCCAGAGTGTCCGCCATAGTACACTCCTAGGACAGAGGGTGGCCAGGTGCCATGACGTCGTCGATGCTGGAGCCGTCGCTTTCGACGTCGTCGTCGACGAGGTCGTGGAAGGAGGTGAGAGGGGACGGCGTCGGCATCCTTTGGAGCCCCTATGCGTCCGTGTTCGCAGGGGACGCGAAGCCATAGGGGAACCGGTCGCACGGCGATCGTGATGGAGACAACGGGGTCCCTCCGAAGAGTCGGTGGAAGGTATTAAATAGCGAGTAAAGAACAATATGTACGTTACTCACCATGGAGTTTGAGCCCAACATGGGCTCGAAGCGAAGCACAGGTGTCTCGATGCTGAGGTCATCGAGTGGCCCGGGGTCGGCGGAAGGCGCTCCTCCTCCAATGGCTGCCGGGAGAAGTGCCTCCTCTCGGAGGCGAAGTACGCCGAGCTGATCGACGATGAAGTCCAGACTTCCGAAGAGGAAGGTCTGGAGCGGCTCGAAGACGGGAGGAACCCACATCCCAATAGGTGGGAGCATGGGAACTCCAGCGAGCCGAAGTGAATCGTATCACTTGAGCCCGCCATGCCGAAGATGGTGGAAAAGTGGCCCATCCGATGACCAAAAGCGTGAACGCACGGCGTCCTCCCCATGGACGGCGCCAACTGTCGGTGCGAAAAGTGACCAACAATACATATTTGTAGTTTTACCATGCATTGTGCTCTGATGTGGCCTAGCACTCAATGACATAAGATTTATACTGGTTTAGGCAACGTGCCCTACGTCCAGTTTCGGTCGGTCGATCGGTGACTTTATTCCTGAGCCCAGATGCACAAAGTTTGCTGTGGGGTTACAAACAGGTACAAAATGAGAAGGGGGTGTTAGAGGCCCGATCGAACTCCAAACCAAGTGCTTAAGAGTGATAGGTGCTCTAACGTACGCTAAGTATTGGAGTATATGCTCTGTGTAGCTGTTGAGATCTAGAGCTGTGGAGCTATTCGAATGCTCAGGTTCTCTAGAGCCGGATCCAGAGAGAGAATCCAGCATCCATCCTAGTTGAAAGAGGGCGCATCCCCTTTTATAGGTGAATGGGATGGCCTTACAAGTTAGAGAGGAAGAGAGAGAGAGAGCATGTACGCGTGCTACCTAGTCTTGTTGCTCACGCCATCGAGTACGACACGATTACCGGCGCCCATAATACTGTTCATGCTCAGATGTGTCTGGCAGGTTTTACCGTGTTTGCCTGGTATGGTAAATGTCGGCGCTTACAATACTGTAAGACAAATGTCGGCGTCCACAATACTGTTTGGGTTCTGACATGCTTGGAAGATTGCATAGTACCCGTCTAGCATGGCCTGGTGACACTGTCCTGCAGGTGTGCAGGGTATGGCAGGGTACGGTCCTTGGTATTGCTGTTTGAACTTGAGCGCCTTACCTTATCTGCTCCGCCTGATCCTTGGGTCCTCACCGAGCAGGTGTCCCCTGTCGGTCGTTCCCAGTCGGCTCTGACCGTGTCGGTCGGGGAAGAAGCATGAGCAGAGGTCCGACGTATCCCCGGTCGGAAAAGGAGGTCAGAGTTGGACTGTGTCCCCTCCTTGACCAGGCCTTCCGGTCGGAGACCGAATCGTTCTCCTGGCCGGGCATTAGGTAACTTGGTCGGCCGAGGAGGCGCGCGTTGTTGTTACGCCGTCTGTCGGGCTGAGTTTTTACTGGAAGCGGGCCCATTAGGGACCCCGGGTTTATGAACCCAAAATTATAATTACGGTATCTATTTTAGATAATAGTATAATACACGTTCATAAATATATTATCGTGGTATTATATGTTCCTATTACAACGTATATACATTTACCTAGTATATATATATTTCCTACTCCTCGGGAGTAGTTACTCCACCTACATGCACCTGTGTATTCTCTCCTCCCGCACACATGACGAGCGTCAAGTTGATTATTGGGTCAATTGTGTGGATCCGTTAACCGATGGCCTAAACAATCGGTCCTATATTACTTCTCTCCTCCGCATTTGGATCGGAAAAAAAATTCGGTGCCTCCCGAGGTGGCGGCGACAGCCTTCACCGCGGTCCTCCTCGGCCCCTCCGCGCCCCTTCTCGTCGGCGCATGGCCATCCCGTCGGCAGCAGCGGTTCCAGAATCCAGAGGCGGCGGCGCCCATCCCACTCGCTCGGCAGGGTCTCTGGCGGCGGTGCGTCTCGTCCCGTCCCGCGCGGACGGCGCTTCCCCGCGCAGATGCGCGCATCCCTGGCCGTGACGGAGCCATGGCGGTGCCGTGGTCCAGCCCACATGGCCATGGCGGTGACACCCTCCCCAGGCATGGTGGCGGATCCATGGCGGCGGCCTCCCCATGTTGGATCTCGTGCGACGACGGCCACTCCGGTGGCATCGACTTCTCCCGAAGAGGTGAGGGCCGTGAGCAGATCCAGTCGATGGTGGCGATGGCACCTTCCTCCCCGGGCGAACGGTGACTAGGTAATATCCTATGCCACTGAATCTTTTCAATGCCATTCGACGACAGTACATGCTCTTGCCTGCTGTGATCCTTGCCGTTCAACAGAGTTGGGAGTAGCACGGATCTCATACATTTTTTATTCAACAGGCATGATGTGCCCGATGCAATGGCGATGTTGAATTTGTTGTGCTTTGTTTCGTTTTTGGATCAGGGTATCCGACCACTCTCCAATTAGCGTATCCATCTATACGCCATACCTGGAGGCCATCATGAAAACGATCGTGAAGCTGGACTTTCAGTAGTCATCTGGGAAACCAGAGGATGGTGGTCAACAGCACGACGAGAGCTGCAACCCTGCGTTCTTTTTTCCAGATGCTGAGATCAAAGTGCCACTTGATAATTTTTCAGATCTAAGTATCGTTGGATACCTTTTTTTAGATTAAAGTATCACTTGATACTTCTTTCAATATTGTAATATCACTGGATACTTTTTTAGATAACAGTAGTATCAATTCATACTTTTTTAGATTAATTAAAGTATCACTTGAAACTAAGAATTACAGTATTGATACATGTTAGCTTCTGACGATGAGTATGTATTAATACTTCCTTACGTTCTGGTATATACACGTACTTTTTCTAAAGATTTTATGTACATATACTGCCTAATTAAGAAGTATGTATTGATACTCTTACATATGTTTTTAGTTTCCATTAAAAAAGTATAAATTCTGGTATGCACACATACTCTTAAGGCTGTATGTACACAATACTCCTATACTAAGAAGTATGCATTGATACTGGATCTCTTACGTATGTAATATTTTCCAATTAAAAATTATATATTCTATTATACGATCTCTGAAAACGGCCATGCAAGCGGCCGCAAAAAATCCCGTGATTAACGCTTCTAAATGGGTTCGGCATGCAGCATGTCTGTTCATTCTCCTCAGACCCGTTTAGCTTTCCATTGGCTGCTCAACAGTAGAGGGAGGGAGTACAGAAAATGCATCATTGAGGAGGGACGCGAAGAAATGAAAAGCGCAAGCGACACGCGCCGGCGTTTCAACTGATGGGCCCACCAGCGCCAAGCCCGCGCAGGAGGGGAGGCGCCACGCCAGCCAGGCAGCTAGATCTGCAATGCAAATTCTCTGGTGCCGTCCAGCCAGCCGTTCACATGCATGCATGGCCCCACGTCTCAGTGGGTCTCTTCGAGTAATCTCCGGTGGACACAGTGTTACGTGCATCGAATTCGGTTCAAGGCGGGAGCGGGGAAGGGATGCGCATTGGGCACTTGGGGCAGTGCACTGTGTGCGCGGCGCGACAGGATGCTTGTGTGACTGATTGATCCAACAGGCCAGTGGTGGAGCGGAGGCGGCAGAAGATCCGGGAAACGGGAGCGTGAGATCTTTTGGCCGCTGCGGTCACGCAACCGGTGTGTCTGGTGATGATCTTCCGTCCGCTGCATTAAGGGGTGTACCGATCCCGCAACTAAAATTTAAGAGGTGTCACGTGAAGATGTCGTATGGGATGTTCGTATATTAATAAAAAAATAAATTACAAAATCCATAGTACTCCACGAGAAAAACTTATTAAGCCTAATTAATTCACTATTAGCATATGTTTATTGTAGCACCACATTGTCAAATCATGGACTAGTTAGGCTTAAAAGATTTGTCTCGTAAATTAGTCGCAAATTGTGTAATTAGTTTTATAATTAATCTATATTTAATACTCCATACATGTGTCCAAACATCTTATGGGACATCAACTAAAGTTTAGGGGAGAAACCAAACATCCTCTAAACTTGCACCAATTTTTGAATCATGGATGATCATGGCCTGGGCCTGGGATGAGACTTGAGAGATAGGGAGAGAGAGGAGGCTACTCACCGTTCAGCAGTGAGCATCTTTTCTTTCGTCTAGCTGTCCCAGTTTTCCAAATACGACAATCAATAATGCTGGGTCAGGACGTCCGTCTGTCCCCGCCCGTCTGGACGCGGCCTGTCCAGCGCAGTGGATCAATCCAACAATCTTTTCAAATCCTCTCGTCCGTTTTCTAATAAAAAACGTTCATCACTTTTATCCGTTCGTTGCTCCTATCCACTAGTCGCTTCTATCCACTTGCCTACGCGCCTTCGAGGAGCGGCGCTCGGCCATCGAACTGCCGATCCTACCTACCAGGCGCGGCGCTCGGCTGCCAGCCCTGCCTACCAAGCGCTCGTCCACCAGACTACCGACCCTGCCTTCCAGGTGTGGCGCACAGTGGCTGCCCTCTGCCCCTGCCGCGTCGCGTGGCTGATGCCTCCATACCGCCTCACGTAGCCGCTGCCGTTATCGTCGGCCCGTTGCCTACAAGTGCCGCCAGGCCGCTACCTCCGGTGAACTCCACACGACGACGAGTCTCCATTCTCCCAAGCAGCAAGGAGATGTTACGATGTGCTAAAAATGCATGTTGCAAGCGTATGTTTCATGTGTTTCAGGTGTCTCATAGGTATGTTGCAATTGTTTTCATGCGGATGTTGCATATGTTGTAATGGTTGTACACGTATGTTGCAAAGGTCTGTTTCCAATATTTTATCTGTGTTTTCGGATGTACGTTGCAAGTGTGTTTTATCTAGATGTTGCATATGTTTCACACATATGTTGTAAGTGTTTTATCTGGATATTGACTATGTTTTGCAATGGTTTTCAAATGTTTTCCAGATGTATTTTTTACAAATATTTTAGAAGCATGTTTCAAATGTTTCATCTACCTTCGGGCATATGTTGCCCCTCACTAACACCATCACTACAAAAATGGAGGATCTGCTATATCAGTATCAAACAAAGATAAGTAAAATTATGAAATTATCTCCACAAACCGATAGAATATAATCCTCGAAGGCTCGTAGCCAGTTGACTTGTGGAATGACACGACCAAATCTCTGCAATACATAAATGTCAGTACTCCGATAAAAAAAAAAACAAAGTAATAATTTGTCTCAACTAACCTAATCATTCCACCTCTAACAGAGCCCTTCTGTGGATCTATCACTTCTGTATAAAGAACATTTATAATTTCAACCCTATGACCTTGTGAAGATACCAAGCATTTGTACTTTGTAACTTGTGGCCAGTCCATGGATGCAACGACCTAAATGGATATGAATTAGAAAATATTTAAATCCCGAACACAGCATACATCATTGGCTGCGGAAGTTTGGAAGAATTAGTAGCACAAGTATGGAAATGCCATGCATTTTTCATTTAAAACTCATGTTACTAAGATGTGTCCACGAAGAATATTTAAAAAGGAGGTAACTTTGAAACTGAATAAATTAAGAACAAGATTCTACAACCACCAACAAATGCATTCAATTAGCGGCGTGTCTGTCCAAATGAAAACTAAAAGCTAAGACTAAGACTAAGAAAAAAGTGAAACTCAGAGAGAACCCATACTGCTGCAATAGATGGAGATGAACTTTCCCCAGGAGATGGGTGGGTAACATCAGCTCCAAAGACTATTGTAGGACAATCTGTCAGAAGAGGTATTCTCCGGTTTAAAGCATCGTCAAGCACTGTGTTCCTCCCACCAACCTAATTGCAAAATGCAATGTTGTCACTATTCTTTCAACCTGATTTTAAAGTGGACAGTAACCTAGCATTTAAAAAAACTTCGTCCTACCTTTACATTGATTTTCAAGGAAAGATTCTCAAGATACTGATTTCCTCCTTTCCTTACATTCTTATGGTAAACAACACTGAGTGATTAAACCAAGCTCAGTTTCACAAAGTCGTTTTATCCTTCCTACATATCAGGTAAAATTCAAGCAATTCGAACTTTAATTTGGAAAAAAGGATTAATTAAAAAGGTCAAAGAATCTTCGATCAGCTTGAAGATCCGTTTAAACAACTTACCGTAAAAACCACTCATATCAGGCAAAATTATGATGAGTAACTCAAGTTGTTGATCTGTTAGACCTTGTTGAGCAAGCACTTGTGCAGAACGCAAATGGATACCCCTGATTTCAGCTTCTAAATTGTCTTGGTGTGCTTTCTTGATTTCTACACACGGTCTGGTACTCATTTGCTACAAAAAAATGTAAAATACTTTTAACTACCATATTTGATTGTGTGAGAAGTGCCATCTAGAGGTAGACTTACCATGCCAACGTTATTGCACATGCCGACAAGATGCTCGCAAAACATCCCAATATCATTTGGATGCATACATGAGGCGAAAGTTATACATGCCCAATATTTGATAGATCCTCCATTAACCATTCTTTGAAAATGTCACCAAATATTCCAAGATAAGATACATAAATATAGATTACAAATCTAATACTAATAGATCCATTGCAGTTATACATAATTATTTCATTTGTTGACATAATTAGGGACTAGACAAGTTTTACCAACCAAATAATCAACTAAACCGAGTAACATGAATGATAAGACAAAATTATGCGAAGGAAGGACATGGAGATTAGAAGAACAAGACATGATACCTTGTTAATCATGTTCCATTGTCCGATGGAAGGGTTGCAAACCTTCTCTTTTCCAGAGTCATGGTATTTAAGCTAAAAAAATATTGGTTGATTGTTAGTAGATGGCAACTAAAAAAAACGACATTCTTTCATACTCAAAAATAAGAAACAATTTACCCTTGGAGCTGGGAGCACTCGAGCATCAACCAACGTAAGTTGGTTCATCACCTTAAGGCCAAATTCTTTTGCATAAGAGTCGTCAGAGTTGTTCTTATGGAATACCTGAGAATGGACGCAACGGATTCACTTAAAAAAAAACGTGAATAAAAGAAATACACACACACACCAAAAGGTACAAACTACAAAGTGAAGTCACAAATAAGCTTAGTGACGATATTCACCTCCAAAGTTCTACCCTCCCTCTCTGATGGTCGCTCACAGGCCAACTTCAGGATATTCCTGACTTGATTCTCATTCAGCTTACTTGAGTAGCGTTGTCCCTCAACTATGCTGCAAACCTGCATATAAGTATGAACGTTATAATAACATGTGAATAGATCGGTATATCTAGGAGGTTGATAAATATATTCATGGAAATAGTTGTCCTAAAAGTGTTAGAGTAATCGAATTGGCAAAGAAAAAAGCATAAATTGCAACCTCTATAGGTAAATACATCTGCTTGCTAGCACTGCCAGCTTGAAGGCATGGCCAGTGAGTGTATTTCAAGGAGTAGTTATATTGTCGTTTGAACTACTGCACAACTGATATCCTTGTGCCATTTTGATCAAACCTGTCACTACTGGATTCAGGTTCTTTGCTGCTCGAGCACTG